TTTTTTTTTTTTTTTTTTTTTTTTTTTTTTTTTTTGTATTAAGTTTACATAAGTTATTTCATTTCTATCTATTATGGTTGAGTATTTTATTTTTGTATGCTTTTTAAATATAATGTTTTTTTTTTCTTATTTTGTAGAATAATTTTACATAATTTATTCTAATTTTGAATTTTTCATTTTAAAATATAACTACTGAAAGTAGTTATTTTATGTAATAATTCTAAATAATATTAAAAATCATTATTTATTTATGTAGTATCAATATTTTTTGTTTTAAATATTTTTATAATGTTAAAATAATAGATATGTTTTTAATTATTCTTTTTTATAATATTATATATTACATTTATAAAATTTATTTTTGAGATTTATTAGAATAATACATATATACATTAATTAAATTTAAATAAAACATTTTATCCAAAATATTTCAATTGACTCAAAAACCTATAAATATAAAAAAATTAAATTTATATTTTTAAATCAAAGTGTATATAACAAATTTTTTTTTCTCGTTTATATTTTTTCTAATTTCATTGCAATAATAATTATTTCTATTTTAATATTTTTTATATAATAATTTCTTTTTAAGCATATTATTTTCATATTTAAGTAAATTCGTTATGAAGATATATATTATGCATACTTTTATTGGCATATATACACCTGTAATATTTATATATTATGAGCACCTAAAATAATTGAAGAATAATATTTTTTTTTAATTATAATTATTTATAAGTATTCGATAAGATTTTGTATATTATATATAAAAAAAGTAAAATAAAATAAAAATATATATAATTTAATAATTTTTATGCTATAAAATATTTTTATTTTTTTTCATTTTTTTCATTATTATCTAATGAATATAATTCTGTAGCTTGCTAACATTTTTTTTATAGTGTATTTAAAATCTATAAAATAAATTATTATTTCTTAAAATATATACTTTATACTTCTATAAATTATTTTTTCTTTACTTTTTATATTTTATATACACACATTTTTAAAAAGGAATAAAAATAACGATGTTTCTTTCTATAAATATTAAATATAAAATGTATACTTCGAAATTTAATTAATTATTTATTTAATTATTATATTTTATTATCGTCTTTTTTTAATGTTTTATTTAAAAAATAATAAAAATAATTGAAATACTATATTCTACTATTCATAAGAATATTAAGTACTCATTAAACATTATCAAAGCATATTTATAACAAAAAAAAATTTGAATAACATTAAAAATATATATCCTATATATATGTTAATTTAAAAGGTCATATCATATTTTATGATTTTAAAAATGATTTTATAATATATTCTCAATGTATGCCTCATTTTAAAAAATTTTTTTTTTAAAATATATATATATATTTTTTTTTTTTAATTTGTTTTAATAAAATTCATATTTTTTTAAATATATATGATATTTTATCAATAAATATCTTACTTAAATATACTTAAAATATATATCATATTTTTTCATTTTTAATTTTGAGTATTTTTCTTATATTTTTAATTTGCACATTATTTGAATATTATTAGATACATTTAAAATTTTTTGATACAATAAAAATATTTACTTTTTTTAATTTATATTATACTTCTTCAAGGTATGTTTTAATTTAATATATTTTTAAAAATTTTATTTAGTGATTAAGTACCACATTATAATTTTTAATGTTTTTAAGACAATTTTTTTCTTTTATTTTTTTGTTTTCTAATATATATACATATATGTAATAAAAAAAAATTAAAATGCTAAAAACATATAATGTAATATGGAAAAAGGAAGAAGAAGAAGAAGATTTGAAAAATGAAAAAAAAAGAAAAATTTTCAACGAAAGAGAAATAGTAGATGAAAAGAAAGATATAACAAATTCAGATTTTGATGAATTAATAAATGATATAGAAGACTTACTAGAAGAGCAACAAATCAATGAGACAGAAAAGTTATATAAAGAATCCAAACCACCTAACGAAAAATTTAACAAAAAAAATAAATTAAGTATAACTGATTTATCCGCTCAGCTATGGTGTGAACAGCAATTAGAATTAGTTTTAACAACAGGAAGAAAAAGAGAAACAGAAGCAATGAGATTAGGTATAGAAAGGCATGAAGTTTTAGAGAAAGCTGATCATGAAATAGTAGATGTAGAAGTAAACACAAGAGAAGAATCTTTAGGTTATCGTTTATTAAACACAATTACGCTTTTAGGTCAATTGTTTGAATGTAAAAAAGCAAGAGAAGTATGGGTATTTGGTATTATAAGGAATTATGTATTAAGAGGAATCATAGATGAGCTAAGAATTGAATATGATAATATTTCAAAAAGGGAATTTCTTATTATTTCTGATACAAAAACTAGAAAAGAAAAAAAAGAACCTAGTTTAGCTCAAAAAAGAACATCAGCTATTCAGGTACAAACATATTGCTTAATTTTACAACAATTAAGAAATGGAAAAGCGGATTTCAAAAAGTTATTTGAAATTTACGAATGTGATCCTCAATTTGAATTTACTGCTGTCGATTTAAAAAAATATAAAAATTTAGAAAATCTATCTAAAGAAGTTAATAAATTATTTATTAAATTACCAAAAATTAAAGAAGAGATGGAAATAGTTTACGAACATCAAGGAAAAGAGTTTGCTAGAAATTTAATACCTTACTTTTATCATTCAACTATATATACTATTAATTTTTTGCTAGATTATTGGGAAGGAAAAAGACCTAGTGAGGTTGTAGAAAATTCTGACAAATGGAAATGTAAATTTTGTGATTTTGTAAAGAATTGTGTAAGATGCCCACTTGATTTATGAACAAAATAAGAAAAAAGAAAAATCAAAATAATTTATCTCAAAAAATATTAAATTTTTAATTTTCTATTGTAATATATTTTTTCATAGATTTATATATGTTTTGATGTATTACAATATAATTAAATGTGTATTATAATAAATATATACTTGAAATATATAGTTTTTTATTTTTAACACTTTTTTGTTTTTTTTTAATAATAAAACTTTTAAATTTTCTCTTCACAATTTTTAAAAATTTTAAAAAATACTAAAAAAAAATGTTTGCATAAATCATAAATTTTCATAGACAAACTTTTTTTTGCTTTAACGAAAGCTTAAAAAAAAAAATTTTTTAAAATGAAAAAATAAAAACATATGAATATATTAAAAATGTTTTCTTTTTTTTATTTTCTCTTTCTTTACATTTTGTTTTTTCAATTTATGACTGTTACTTTCTTTTTCTTTATTTATGAATTTACAAGCATTTTGGTATGCATTAAAAAAACTTTTAATAGTTGATATAATAATTTCTTTAAATTTTTTATCGTTCAATTTTCTTATAAAATAATATGGTAATATATAAAATTCTATGTAACTTTTAAAACATTGTGTGTGGAAATAGGTAAAGTTCGTGTGAATATAATTTTTTGAAGGAAAGTAAAAATTATTATATATATTTTTATTTTTATTGTCATTATATATGTAATTTTTTATTACTTCTCTAAAGGAACTTGCTCTGCTTCTATTTTTATAAGAATTTTCTAATATATCATCAGTTATGTCATTAATGACATTTTCAAAATTTTTTATAAATGCGTTTATCTCTTCATCAATGAATTCTTTTTTTACATCAAAATTTTTTAATTGGTTACCTATTTTATTCTTTTCTATATTTGTTTTCTGTAATTTATGTAATATATCTAATGTTTCGTAAGGAATACAAAAACTTTTAAATAAGTTATTGTAGTAATAAATGAAATCATCTTTTTTTTTCTTTTTTTTTAAATTTTTTATTTGGTAATTATAGTCTAAAGATGATTCTATATTTGATTTTCTTAGAAAACAATTTTCGCTAATAATATTTTTAATATCCTCCAAAAAATCATCGATATTTATTGATTTATATATTGTCTCATTTTTTCTGTTGGAATGTAATTCAGACAAAGTACATTCCTTAATATTTTCTTCTTTTAAGCTTTCTTTTGTATCAAGAAAAATATCCATATTATTTAATTTGTTATTTATTATATCGTATCCATTTTCATTATATATGCATTCACATGCTTCATTGATTTTATCTGTACTCAAATTAAAATCATAATTATCTTCCTCTTCATCTTCAAATATATTATTTAGATCTACAGAAATAACATCTACATAATAAAAATCATTATATTCATAAGAATAATCGAAAGAAAACACTTCTTTGCATAGCAAGCACTCATTATTATGATAATTATTTATATCAAATATAGATGTTTTCTGCGTATAATTGTCATAAATATAATTAAATAGTCTATTTTGAATTTCGTTAAATTCTGTGTTGCTTTTAAAATTTTTAAGCATTAAAAAATAAGATTTCCTCAAATAAAAAAGAAAAATATGTTTAAAAACGTTATTTTGTAAAAAATATTTCTCATTAAAAATATTAAGAAAAGAATTAATAATATCAATTTGAAATCTAGAATCAGAAAAAAAATTTTCACTCTTTACAACATTGTTTTCCTTACATTCCTTAATATTTATCTGCTGTAATTTTAAAGCATGTTTATTAGTAAAATTCCCTTCATCTGAATTAAATATACATTTTTTTTCATTGGGATTATTATTATTACCTTGAAAAATCTTATAAAACTTTGTCATATTATTTAAATTGATCTCATCTACCTTATGATATGCAAAATTTGTCTTATCATCCGATTCCTTACTATATACTTTTGTCGCTGATAAAAATGTATTTATTGGAGACAAATTTTTACTAATATAAAAATCATTACTTGTACATATTTGCCATATATTATTTTGCATATCTAAATTTTCTCTGTATTTATTTTCATCAGTATTGTTATTTTTTGAAAAATTATTTGTACTTTTATTTGTTAAAATGTTATTAAAGATTTTTTGATTACCTGTATTTTCATTCATTTCTGTAATTCTTTTAATCAAAAAATTATTTAAACTTCTTTTAGGAATCCATGAAGGAAAATCATAATTCAAAATATCTTTTATTTCTAAACATTTCATAATATTTTTGTACATTGTAACCCCATCTATATAATTTATAAGTACATTATTATCTTCAGTAATAGTGTAATATTTCGACAAATAAACATCATATGTGTTTTGATTGCCATAAATAAAATCAAAACAATTAATTTGATTATTATTATCTGAAGTATTTTTTATATCATTTTCAAAATATGTTTTGTTTCTTTCTTTAACATTTTTTTCTAATACAGTCCGATTTGAACAATAAAAACTATCAATTTCATTACATTTTCTAGTAAAATCAAATATATTTTCAATATTTTTATCATTTATACCTATATTATTTTCTTCATTTGATATATTCTCATTAGATATATAAAATGAAATGCTTTTGTTATGTTCATCATTATTGTTATTAGAAATAATTTTAGTTTTATCATTTAAATTTAATTGATTATTAAAATTTATTCCGGTGTTTGAATAATCCTGCTCATTTTTAAAATTTACTTCACTACTTAAATTTATTTGATTATTTAAATTGGGATAATTTTTTACATTCATGGGATTATTTGAGTTATTATTATTATTATCAAAATTATTTTTTATATTATAATCAAAAGAATTTTGAAAATTAATAAAATTGCTATTTTTTGTAACAACATTATCATACAAATCTTCAAGAAAAGAATAATTTTTACATATAAAAAATTCAATAGATAAATTTACATGCTCAAGATATATACAATTTTTTTTATTTTTTATTATACTAGATTTTTCTGAACTGTTCATGTAATTTTTGTTTTTCTTATAATGATTTTCTATATGATTTAATTTTTCTAAGCTGGTATAAAATCGTAATCCACAAGTAAAACATTGGAAATTCCTTTCTTTGTAATAATATTTGTATATTTCTTTTAAGGAATAAGAATTAGTTTGGAATTCATCAATATTTGCTATTATTTCTAAATTTCTTTCTTCTTTTTCGTTGTTTTTTTGTTCATTTTGCAATTGAATAACAAAAGAAAGTAACAATAAAACATCATACATAGATAAATCATCTATATACAATAATTGATTAGATACACTATTCAAAAATTTTTTACCTATAATTTTTATATCATCACCTTTTAATTGTATATATTGCTTCTTTTTATCCATATTATTAACTAATATTGAGTTTTCCTTTATATTTTCACTAATATTTTTGTTGTTTTCTTCTTTCTTTTTTTTTTTTATTAATACATTAGAGTTATTAACATATAATTTTTCACAATTTGATATATTACAACCTTCTGATGAATCTTCAAAAAATATATTTTTATCAATAATATCGTTAAATTCAATACTACAAAATTTTCTGTTAACACATAAGATATCATGACTATTACTTAAATTATCATCAAAAAGATAATTATATATACTTCTTAATTCTTGCATTTTTTCAATATACTTTTCCATATCCTTAAAATGATCTATACAAATGTCATTTTCATTTAGTTTTTTTTTTTTTATTAATTCAAAATTTTCATACAACGATAACTTCGCTCTTTTATTTATATGATCATTTTCTGGATCATCTTCGCTTTTCATTTTATTTCTTTTTTTCCCATAAAAATAATTATTATATGGTGTATTATTTATAGTATTATAAGAAACATATTTAGTTAATATATCTTCATTCATGTTTCGTAAAAAAACGAAATAATAAAAATATTGAAAGTTTTACATATAATTCTATATAATAATATTTTATTTAATTTTAATTAATAATAGATTGAAATTTTTAATTTTTCATTATTTTTTAAGTTATGAAAAATTATGGATGTATTTATATACATTTACAAACATATAAGAACTATAATTTAAAAATATTCAATATGAAATATAAAGAAAATTACAAAAATTAATCAAAAAAATTTAAAGGAAAAAAAAAAAAAAAAATGAATTAAAAATCTAACTAAAATTATAAAAATGGTAATATGAAATAAATAAAATTTTATATTTTAAATATATTGCTAATCTAATAAAATTCATTTAAAAAAAATACTTCATTAAATTTTCACTTTTTTTTTTTTTTTTTTTTTTTTTTTTTTTTTTAAAAGTTTTAAAAA